CTTGCGCTTCCCGCTCTGGATTGACCGGAACCCAGCCCGGCTAGACTGACACCATCGTTCTGCTCTAGACTGATGCCTGCGTCGACTGGACGAATGGTTGGCGGTATTACTATACTGGGCGCTTTTCCGTCTCCGATGCTGCTGATGCGACTTCTGTTCGCCATTCCTTCTGGACTGGTTGCACTCACACTGCCGTTCGCTGGTAGTGGACTGACAGGGCTGACGAGGCCGGACATGGACGTCTTTGGAGTCGGTGGGAGAGGAGATCGGGCCGGTGGCACTGGGCTCTGCATTTGGGGTTTCGGAGATGGTGACGGTTTGTTGCCGAAGAGCGAGAGCAATGCGTTCTTCTGCTCCGAGGGGACGGATTCGCGACGGTCCATGCCAGAAATGGGCGGAGGGACGGGTGAGCGAGACGGCAAGACTGCTGGTAGGGTCGGCGGAGGCTTCGGTGATGAGCCCTTGAACATGTCTAGCAAGCCTCGTGCATGCGGTGTCGTCTTCTCTCCTGTACCTAAACAGTTGTTAGTCTCATCTACAGGTTCCGTCATTCTGCCAGAAACAGGCAAGCACGGGGGGATGAACGTACCTGCTGGTCCTGGCGCTTTTGACTGTTGTTGAGGTCTCTTCAGAATCTGAGGCTGGAAAGCAATTCGCGGTGATCCAGAGACCTCGGCCGGTGGTGCAGGTTGAGGCGAAGCTTGCGGCGCACGTTTGAGTATCTGCTGAGGCATGAAAGGCATGTTCGTGGCTGGCGAGGGTCCGCGTGAACTGCTGTTCGTCGGCTGCCTGTTCTTCTTCATGGTGTCGAAGTCTGGCGCGTTCACTGGCCCGCTCACAGTAGCGGACGTCATATTGGCCTTGCTAGACGGAGCATTGAAGACGGCAAGAAGAGCGGCATTGGGCTGTCTAGACGGGTTTGCGACAGGTTGCGCGGACACATAGCCTGGTGTTGTGGGGAGCGCAGACAGCTCTGCAGGTGCGGGATCCGGGCTTGCCAGTGGCGGGGTAGGCCGGAACAGATTCAACAATGAATCTTGATGAGCGTTTCTTGGCTTTGGTTGTTCGGGTTCGAAAGCCGAGCTGATGGGTGGTGATTGAAACTGCGGCGGACTCGGAGCGAATTGTGCTTGTGGCGATACGAGCCCATGCGGTCTATGTTGAGGTAGCGGATGCTGTATCCTGGGCGTTGTTTGCGAGCTTCGGTGCAATGGAGCGGCGATTGTGGTCTGAGGCGACGGTGGGAAAGTGGGTTGCTGATTCTCGTTCTTGAATGAATTCAGCAATCCGAGTGCATGCGCATTCAGATTTGGTGCGGGCAAATTGGACGCCGATGGTATCGCTGGCCTTCCGTTTCCGCCTGCGAACTGTGAATCCCCCATCTCCTGGAACTGGGGCCGCAGATTGTGCTGATCAAACGCTTGTTGCATGTTTGGAGGCTGAGGTGGAAACATGGACTGCTGCTGCTGCGGCTGTGGTTGCTGGTGCATGAAATGAGGCGACATATGTGGTGGTGGTGGTTGCATTCCATTCATGTGACCTGGATGCCCTCGGAAAGGCATACCTTGGTGTGGTGAGAAGAAGGGCGGTGGAGGCCCCATGTTGCCCATCTGCGGTGGCCGTGGACCATGCTGACCATGGGGACTTGACGGCTGCATGGGCGGGGGCATCATCTGCTCAAACGGCGTCCGAGGTTGTTGGTTTCCTGCATGCTGGTTGTTGCCCTGCTTGAATAGAGCCAGGAGCGGGTTTCCTTGGGGTGGTGGTTGGCTGGGGGCCTCTACCGGCGGTGACTGCATGCCCACACTAAGGAGACGCTTGAGTGCCTCCGCTGGGTCTTGACTCTGTTGTGGTGCCTGATGCTCGTTTGATAACTCTGGTAACGAGTCGCTCGGGCGGTGTCCGCGACCTAACCGGGCCACCATCTCCGCAAAGTTGTCGGCCACCTGGGCGTCGGCGACGGGCGCTGCCTGATTGACCGTAGTCTCGTAGAGCGTGTTCTGAATGTCTTCGTCATCAGTCCCTGCCACAGGTGCCGGAGCAACGTGCGCGCTGTTCCGTTGCCTCTGCCGCCCAAGCCTGTGCTGCTGCTTTATCCATTGCCTCAAAGGCCCCAAGAACGGCGCGACCATGTAGAAGTTGCTCTCCTTGATCAGATCGTTTCCATTTCCCTGCTGTTGCTGCACCTGGTTCTTGCGCCTCAGAGTAGGCAGATCCGTGAGCTTGTACCAGTCGATCTTGGAGATTTCCTTTCTGGTCCGCGGCTCGAAGTATGTGTCCATGGGCACGCCGCGGAAGACGTACAGCATCATACTCTGTTCGCGCATCGTGACGGTGATCTTCTTCATGTGCTCGTCGGGCTCGACCAAATCAGCCTCGCGCAGATCGTAGCCTGTCTCCTCCCAGACTTCGCGCACGGCGCAGTCGAGATCCGTCTCTTCCTTGTTGATCTTTCCGCGCGGGAAACTCCACTTGGCGCCCTTCTTCCAGCCCTTGACCAGCACGGCGTGTGTCATGTCCTCGTTGAGCATGATGGCGCCGCGCACCGGGACGCGGGTCTTGTAGGCGAGGAACTGCTCGTAGGCCTGCTGGTGCAGCTCCTCCGAGTAGGCGGAGAAGAGCGGGCAGTGCTGGAACATGAGCTGGGAGAACTTGCGCAGGTGCATCGAGGGCAGGTTGTTGGGGTCGAGCGGACGGATGAAGTCTTCGTAGAACCACTGGGCTTCCTCGATCTGGAAGCAGATTCGCTCCACCGACTGGAGTTCTTCATTGGGCAGGTTGACGATGAAGCGCACGCAGAGGTCGTCCAGCCAGTCAACTAGTGATCTGTTTGTGTTTGTCATGGTGGGTGTGTGTCTGGCCCGTGTCGAGCATGCCGCGTTGAGCTTGCGTCGCAGAGAGTGGTGGGGAGCGCTCGGGCGCCAGTCAGCCAGCTATCGCGCGTCGCGGGCGGCGGGTAGGAGCGAGCGGGTCTAGATGAGGGAGAGGTTGTTTGCTGCGAGGCTGCACAGCCGCAAAGAATGGCGAAGAATGTGGGGGGAGCGGGTGGACGTGTTGTTGATGTGTTGTCAAAGGCCTATCGGAGAGTTGGGCTGTGGCTGTCGGCAGGAGCGATCGACACAAGTGTGGCGGCTGTGGCTGTGCGCGCAGACGAAAGAAGGAGCGGCCGACCCAGGCCATGACGTCCCTGTCTGGGATCGCGTCACAGAATCAGGGCACCTGGACCTGGGCAGCTACAGCGACTCACCGCCAGCGCACCTCGACGCGATAAGTAGGCCCGTCGTCTTCGCTCTGCCGCTGCTTCTTGTTCTTCACAGCTCAATCATACTCTGTTCGTTGCCAGTCGCCCGCCAGCTATACATAGGGCAGCGACGCGCCCGTTTCACATTTTCCCAGGAGAAGCGCCGTTGGCCAACCACACAACACGCGCGCTTTGAGACAGCCGCACCACCGCGCACTGTAAAGCGACACCGTTCGAACAACACGAACATATAAGGCCTCTTGGACGGTCTCATATACCTGTATTCATACAACTCCCCTTACATCACGAACTACCTCAGCAACACCACCCAACATGGCAGGCATGGTCGCTAAGTACGCCATGAAGAAGGCGCTGGGCAAGGAGATGGAAAAGTACAAGTCCAAGGACGTATCTGGACCCTACGTAAGTGAACCTTCTATCATTTCGACGTGCGCAAACTCATTGTACCCCAGGACCCCTACTACGCACTGCAGCCAGACCCAAAGAGGCCCCACAAGATGAAGAAAGTCAAGAAGGACATCCCCAGCTACATTCCCGAGAATGATTGCGTTGTCTTAGCCAAAGCCCGCAAGTCCGCATACAGGCTCGACTACGCTCTCTTTACCTTTATGGGAATCCGATTTGGCTGGTCTTCTGTCATTGGCCTCGCCCCAGCCGTGGGTGACGCCGCAGGTTCCGCCTTGGCCTTGAACCTCGTTCGCAACATGTGCAAAGTGGAAGGCGGACTGCCAGCCAGCGTCCTTATCATGATGCTGTTCAATGTCGCCTTTGACTTCCTCATCGGCCTTGTTCCCTTCATTGGCGATCTTGCCGACGCAGCTGTCAAGGCCAACGGCAAGAACGTGCGCCTTCTCGAAGAGCACCTCGACAAGCTCTACAAGCCCAAGGAGCTCGCAGACAGAGATTCCAAGCTCCCCAGAGAACGACGCCCGCGCCCTGCTTCTGTCTATGTCGACTTTGACGATGAGATTGATGAGCGACGCAACACCTTTGAGGACGACCATGACGATGTTCGCCACCCTCAACGTTCCTACGGTGGAGGGCGTGTTCACGACGAAGAAATGGGCGGACGGTACGACAACCAACCCCAAAGATCGCGCCGGGACGACAGGCCTAGCCGCAACAACACTAGGAGCAGCAGACGTTGATGAGTACTTCTTTATGTCTCTTTTCCTAGCGTCGTTTCCTATTACAGCATGCCAGTACTGTTGTCAGACCACTGCTGCATTTCATGCATTGTGCATTGCGCATTTGGCGTTGGCGGTTGCTCGTACTCTCTTTAAAACTATACCCTAAGTGCTGTTGCATGTACACAACAATATTATGTATACTCTTTGTAATATTTCCGATGTAAGACCCGGATTCCAATCCTCTTTTCGTTTGTTGATTAGGCTCTATCACGTTCACGTGTGGACCCAGGACGCTTCGTCCCTGCAACAGCGTGTGCCTGGATCTGATGGGCACCAATGGAATTCTTCCTCCATGTTGTACCCGCAATTATACTACCTAATCCACGACCACGACTGCTTGCTCGTCCAAGGTCCGTGTGCTTCCTTCTATCCGTTTTCACACAAACTTCTCGCGTGAGCGTCTGGCATATGCTTGCCCATATAAATCTTAGTGATTTTCACTCTGTTTCCATGCTCATTGCGTTCGCGTTCAACCCCCAGCAACAATTGTAGTATACCTTGCTTCGAAGCTCTCCGAATACCGCAGCACGACGGTCTCTCTTCCCATCATGAAGCTCCTCATCGTCTTGTCGCTCGCCCTCAGCGCCATCGCCGCCGCCGTCGTTGCACCTCGGCAGCCCACATCGCCATCCCATATCGTCGCCCTCGGCATGGACAATTCCGATATACCCCTCTACTCAGACGCCGACCCAGTCCCCACTGTCACGACCTCAGAATCAACTGCAACTACTGAAGACAACTACCAAAACGCCCGCGACAAAATCCCTTTAGTAACCGAGCACGTCACACCCACGTACGAACTGATATGAGACATTTGCTAACTTCGCCCCTTTCCTTACAGAACCTCGCGCCCCGGCGACCCAGAACCCATCGTCATCCTCCCCTTTTACTTCCAGGTCATTGAGAACTGCCTCCCGGACAACAGCATCCAAGCCCGCGGTGTATACAAGAACATGGATTACGTGTGGGCCTACACTCTAGCCAAGGGCAACACCGTCCAGGTTGACCACGGCATCGGAGGATACCCTTGGACATTCCTGATCGGACCATTCGATTACAAAAACAGCAACCTTCACTTCTCGTACGACAACGGCGACGATTTCCACTGCGATTGGAACGATAGCGAATCGTGGAAGAGGTGTGGCGAGTGCAGGACGGGGTTGTGGAGTGCGCCGAAGCTTGATTGTAAGGGAGGCGGAGAGAAGACTAGGGTAAGTGGTTCCTTTTTCTTGAATGTGCGCGTCTTAGAAGTCGGTTTTGCTAATTGTGGCATGATTGTAGAAAAAGATTATGAATTGCTCGTTCATTATGGGGTGGAGAAGTAAGCTCACGGGCCATCCCATCACTCCTCCTGAGGGGGCAGCCTGATTCCATAGTTCTTTCGAACCGGGGAGAGAGCATGGTAGCTGGGTTCTGGAGATTGCACGAGGGGTCGCGGCAGAGGTTGGCTAGAGCACTTGGTTACATGTGATGGTACGAAGGTGGCGAATGGGTCCAAAAATAATCAGTGACGTGAGAAATCACGCTTCGTTCATGACATGGTTTCCAACAAACAAGTATCGAATTACAACATAATTATTAGCCAAGGGTATCAAACTATTCTGTTTACCCGAAAAATGGATAGAGTCATAAGTGAACATGCCGCCCTCATTACCCAAAGTACCCGACCCAGGTCAGACGCCGATACCCAATGCTTGACATTACTGATGCATTACCTCCACACTCTCACGTCCGCAGCCTCTAATCGACGATGACGCCCTTAGCGCCAAACCTCTTATGACCATAGTCACTCTCATCCTCGTCACCGTCCCAGTGGACGGCCTTGCGCGCAGGCTTGTGAATGCGCACGCACCATAGGAAGTAGTCCTCTAGTGGTAGCAGATTCAAGAGCACCCTGTTGCCAGTCCATGCAAGTCCACAGACCATGGCGCCCGCCACGGCATCGAGGATGAAGTGGTTCGCGGTAGCAACAATGGCGACCAGGATGATAGCAGGGTATGCGACACCCAAGAAGATGCAAAGCATACGGCGGGCCGACGGGAGACGCATACGCAGGCCCATGGTGAGAGCAACGGTGCGGGATCGGTTGTGCTGAGGAGCAAGAGGAATCGACATGATGGTGAGGCCGATGAGGAGCGAGTACCCAAAATGCAGGGAAGGCATGGCAGCGTATTGGTTGCAGAATTTGTTTTGCGTCCACACGCTGCTTTCGCCCTCCGCGCCGTGAACAGTATCGACGAAACCGAAGCTACGCGCCTCCTTGCCTACGGAGCCGGGAACCTCGGGGTCGGAGAGCAGACGCGGCGGCATGCATGGCCACAGCGTGAAAACGATGAACGCGATCAAGTTGCATGTAGCCATCGTTCTGCGCCTGGCAGCGTACAGCATTGGACCTGCCGGGCTGCCATCCGCCTCGCCCATTGGCTTGTTGTGGAGGGGAAGATCGATTCGGTTGCGCGTTGTAGTGTAGTAGAAAAGCCATACCAGGAACAGGATCGTGCCTGGAATGTGGATGAAGGAGTATGTGCGGTTCGTCCAGTGGAGGAGGAAGGGGTGCTTCAGGAACCACGCTTGAACGTCGAGTTCAAGGAAGATGTGTAGTTTCTGTTCGAGGTGGATGATTTGGAGGGCGTGGCGGCGAGCGACGTTAACGGTGCCTTCGACCATGGTTACTGCGGAGAATGCGCGACCTAGTTGGTACACCTGAAGAAAGTCAGCATCTCTGCAGAGAAGATGTATAGTACTCGCGCGTTTGCTTACCCAGTAGATCAGCGCCCAATACCAGGCCTCCACAAGGAAGGGAAACTTCTTCAGCAGTCGACTGAGGAAGTAATCCTGGAACCTCTTGGTATTCGGGCTCATGACCTCCTTCTTCATACCCAGGACTACCACCTCTCGTTTCCTCCATTTGGGTTCCTCGTCGACATTGGCGAGAAGCGACGCGCTCGACGACGGACTAGATCGACCGGAATCTGGAGAACTTGACCGCGGTGAGTTTTGGTATACTCTCCGCCGACCAATAAGGCGGTATTCGGTGTTTCGGTTTACCCATGTACCTCCGAAGAGCAGGGTGACTACCACGAGTGGTTCTATGAAGGCTCCTGCGCCCATGGTGGGGGACTACGCGCGAGGCGGCGATGTATAGGTGGTATGGGCGGTCGCGCGATGTTTGAGCAATAGTATGCTTCCCGGGGGTTCAACTCCAATACGATTACCCAGAGGAACTGAGTATATTTGTAGGGATGGCGGTAGTGTTTGGCTAGCCGGTCGATCCGGGAATCTATGCGCGGAGGTCCTGACGCAGCACTGTATCGTACCTTCTGCTTTGGCTTGCGAAAGGTAGAGGTGAGGAACTCGTGGGTGTTTCAAGAACAAAAATGTTAGCTATGACAAGCCCAGAAGTCTTCGCACCAAGGAACAGGCAAGAAGACTGGCCGATGCCGAGGGCTACATCCTAAACTAGAGGCAGGGCGCATGGCGCGTAGTGAAGTCAGCGGAACGCACGGCATGCGTAGAGTGACTAAACAGCCACAGCAGCCACGGACAGGGCAGCGGACGTTCGGACGAAGCTGCGCTGCCATGGCATTTGGTGCGGCGTGGCCCTGCTGGGTGCAGAAGGAGCCGGCCTTCCGATGTGACTGCTTGCTTAGTGTCGCGTGCTCGCACATCATTTGCTACATGTTGCGTCATTGACATTTCAGAGTTTTGACAGCAATGCTCGGTCCCAAGTACTTATCGCGCCCGCGGACGTCAAGAATGCGTCCAGCAGCAAGATTTCGTCCCAGTTGTAATGCGCGCATCATGGGCGAGGATTGACGCCTTCGCGCGGCGGAGTCCTGTTGGTTGCGAAATATCGTGGTCGGTCTCACATGAACACGCGACTGTCGTCCGTAGGCTTAGCTTCCGCCCAGTACCGGCACTAAGCTGCTTTGGTAGATGCGCATAATCTTCGATTTCGATCAAGATAATCTCCCGTAGTGGGTACGGAGTCTCGCGTCTTGCCGGTGCCGATACGTTTACGCGCGAGTACGAGATCGCATTGGCACTGATCGTTTCTGAACTGCACAATCTTCACCGCAGCTGCGTGGTGTATAGTCCACGGTCTCGACGAATCATCCACACCTGGGCGTCTTGTCGCCTCTATCTGCCCCCGGACGCTCCGTATACTGTTGAAACAGTTTCTTTGTATAGTGTTCACGTATAGAACTCTACCGCCATCATGCTGCACGGTCTCCTCAGCACGTCGTTCTCCCAGGGTTCTCACAAACTATAGCAGCGAATCACACCCGAGCAATACCTAGGTATGCTTGCGACTCAGTTGCGTCAGCATTGATCAGGAGTTTGCGAAAACCATATTGGAAAGCATGACCGCATGAACGGACCCGCGCAGATAACATAGGCACCCAACACCCTTCGGAAAATGTACCATCATCACATATCAACGAGAACCGGAGAACACAGCCTGGGCAGGCCATAGGTCCGGAGAGTCTACATGACCTTTCAAGTCTGAAGCAAATCATTCGAAGCTCAACAGAGGTGCATTGTCCTAATCTCGGCTTCTACTACTCTACATTCCTCCTTTTCCCAGACCCAGTCTACCGAGAAAAGAGCGGCTCAGCAAAACTACAATCCCCACCCATACGCGTTCTCATCTCTTCGTCTCACCATTGTCTAATCGCAGTAGTAGCCGAAGCTAAGGTAATCCTCAAACCCACCCCCATTCGACCAGCAAACCGCAGCACCAGTGTCGAATCTAATAGGGCTGCCATTGGGCGACGACTGGTTGGGGCCGGTGTAAAGCGTGAGATGGCATCCTGCAGACGTAACTATCATATTGATAGATCCGCGAGGTCCTTGGAAGAACTTAGAACATGTAACCGCTGCTTGAGTGTTGGTTCTTACCTGGGAAGTTTCCCTTCACCGGTGCAGGATTGAGATCGTACGTCTCCTCGAAACCTGCGCAGCCAGGGTGGTCGAAGGAGGTGAAGCGGATTCGGCCGTTTGCGGCTGCGAGGGAGATGAGAGGGAGAAGGGCGTAGAGGAACTGCATTGTGCGTGTTGATTCAGGTCTGAAGAGGATTGAACGGATCTGGAGAGTTTGATGCTGGATGTTTGGCAGGAAGAGAGATGATCTTTTATACCGATCCGCGTAGATATCGTGATCCACGGGATTCTGCTCGCAGTGCAGAACCATGCATTAGCAATACGACATCATCTCACGATTACTTTGTTCGTGCAAGCAGGAAGCGTTGGCACGGTTCGAAGACTCATGTGGTGTAACTTTCCAAAACCGCCAAAGTAGTTTGTTCGTATTGTGCAATCGGCATGTGGGGTCCAAATACGAATGCTCTCTCTTCGCGATTAGCTCTGGCTAGTCACAGTCTGCATGTCTGAGGCTGAAGATATTGGTTACTCATCGCTAGATGCCTTCTTTGAGCCACATCAGTCGTACAAGTAATGAGTACAGGAGCTGGAAATGATGCGCTCTCTTTGTCAGCTTCCTAGCTCGTTATAGCGTGGACCTGGTAGATTAATCATGGCATTAGCATTTACTGCTCCTGTCCTTGTGTTATACACGCTGCACGAACTTGGGAACATCGTGCATTAGCACACCGTACTGAAATGCATGTAAGCAAGCGGCGCACCCCACAGACCTTGACCACCCCACTGGTCTCAACCCACAATGGCTCAACGCAACACTAGACGTCGAACATACAAAGTCAGATGTAACGTTCTGATATTATTTAATTTAATGAGAGCCGGACTAAGGTGTAGTCCGTCTTGACCACCACTCTGAGACGAACGCTGGCCTACCAGAGACGCCCGAGTACCATGCAATGCATGGCGAACATGATGTACAGCGAATGTATCGGCTGCGATACGCAATGAAGCGACGAGTCTTTCCAATTTGCAAAAATGCCAAACACAAAAGGAGACCAGCGTTAGCTGTGGGTAGGAGACGCATGGTTACAATAATCCCGAGTTTCCTTGACGCCTCGCTGAACAGAACAAAACAGGAAGGGAAGGTATAGTGGTAACAGTATATGGACAGGCCAAATTGGCAGACAAAGGAAATGTGTGTAGTCATCAACGGTGATAACTGGTGACGCTGATGGGACTCTCAGCACGCGACACTGTTGAACGGCGCGGTCTCTTGGAGGTCCTCGACAAGGTCATCCACGTTGGGGAGGTACCGTCCCAGCATATTCTGCTTCTCCTCTTGCGACCGAATGTGCTTTCTGGTCGCACCGCCGCCATCGTCGCCAGCCGCAGTGCTACCCCGCCGCTCGAAAGCACTGGTCAGCTTGCTAGGGCTCCGATGCGGGCCAGAACCTGGGATCTCGGGCATGAGGTAGAAGTATAGGAATTCCAGCAGCTTGACTTTGACGTTTTGTGTAGTCTCTTCGTCCTTGAACAGGCTGGTCACGGTGAGCAGGCCGTCCATATGCTCAAACACTCGCGTGTTTTGTGGTGTCGCAAGAAGCGCGGTGACCAGGACGAGGAGGGCTTGGGATTGGATGGCGGGGCAGTTGTAGGGGTCGAGCAGGTCGAGGAGGACGTTCATGTAAACTTCGCGACCGAAGATGATGCGCGAGGGTGGATGCAGCAGGAGAAGACCTTGGATGTTCGATAACGAGGAGAGGATGAGGATGTCGTTTTGGCCATCTATCGGTAGTTGGTTAGCTGGTGTTCGGCATTTTCTAGTCGGGCCTCTTACCCTTACTGCTTCCCATGCCCAGCAGTCGATCCAGACAGTCGGCTACCCGTGTTACAACTATAATTGTTAGTATATACTCGCATTGCTGTAAGTTCCCAACTCACCATTCCACTCGAATCCCTCTTGCAGCCGAAAGAACTCGCGAAAGGCAAGATCGTCTGATAACTGCCCCAGCTTCTTCGGCGTTGGTTGTTGTTGATCTCCCAAATTGAGCGCAGAGGCGTTCCGTCGGTGACCCGGTGGTGAGTTCCGTGGCTTGCCGCTTGAAAGACATATTTGCGCCAACATGCCCTCGATCTGGCGCAACCCTTTGCGAATCTTCTGCGTATCCTTGGACGCTATGTTGTCGAATGCGAGGGAGAGTAGAGCCTCCATTGTGAAATTGGTCTGAATTTACCGGTGCAAAAACAGTAGCGACAACTCTACCAACCAGTGTTAATATATGCTGCGACTAAGGATGCAGTCCAGATGTTGTTGAGATCAAGTGTTGGAGGTGCAGAAGGCGGTAGGGGAAGGCGGGAGGGGGGGTTACATACATGCAGCTAAGAGGTCTAAAGTGCGGAGTAAGCAATATTCTACGCCTGTGTGGGCCGCAAGATTCAGGCTTGGACCTTCTCGAGCTGGCCGACAGTTGGCGTGGGAGAGCCTGGTGGCATCGATAAACACCCGCCGTTGCCATGGAAATCGCGACCCACCGGCGGCGGTTCGAGCCGTGCACTACTAGCCTGGCCAGGGAAGCACTACCACAACTCAACACCTCATCTTGCGCGACACCCTTACCTTGTCGACAACCGTTTACTACACCCTTGAATATGCGCATAGTTTCTGCTAGCAAAATGACAGCGGCATCGTGACGGGCAACCTGCGGTCAAAGCCACTGAGAACTCTGCACCGGCTTGGTCCCGCAGGTGCAACTACGTCATTCGCGACTCGCATTCCCAAGGCCACTACTCGCCATGCGTGGAATGCCTCGCACATCTGAATGAGAGTAAGGCTGTTGCGATGTCGCTCGCAAGGGGTGACGAATACGAGCATGCGTGCAAATGACCGAATCACAGCCTTGCCCGTCATGATGTTGCTGTTCACCGGACCTTGGCAGCCTTCCGACTATGCCATTATGGCTGACCGCGGCTGCTTCTTCGCGAAATTCAGAGCTTCGCAGTACAAGCCTCCGACGCCAAACCTCTTTCCCGCAGTTTCATGCACACCTCTAGAAGAAACTGCCGTGGTGGCTTGCGTCCCGAGGTCTGTCAGAGACTCAGCCGCTCAGCCTTGTGCGCCAGGCACCATCTACCTTATAACTCGCGATGGCTCCAATGATTGAATTGTCGTGAACTTCCGGCTACGGATTCGCGATTACACCCACCAAGCCATCCGCTACATCAAACTTTCGTTTCCTCATTATGGCAGTACACTCTTACTTTTGGACAAACTCGAACGCGCTCATTGCCGTTATTCGTTTTGCCCTGTTCTCACCCGCGATAATTTACTGGGTCTCCGCTTCCGACCACCACGAGTTGATCAGGATCAATCCCGAACTTCACGACGGTATCTATGGCACGTCCATGCTAGCTGGTGAAAGGCTTGCGGACAAATGGGGCTTTATCTTATGGATCTGGAACTTGGCCTGTTGGTGGCCTGCGCTGGTATGCTTCCCTCCACTGAACTTACCTTTCACGATTGTCGACACTACGATTACCGTCTTTCTGGCGACGGCTACAAACTACCAGGTTGGATACATACCTCTTAATCCGAAAGCTTGTCACGACAAAGCGGGCCTCGAATTGCAGCGACCCATTGGCACGAATGAGAGCTTTTTCGCTGCTGCCGGAAGACTCAATGGGACAACGGCGACTTCGACTGCCATGTGCTTGGAATTCGTGGAGGAGGCACAATATGGTGTTGCGCTAACGTAAGCCGTATATTCGTGGATAGATGGGCCTTGCTGACTACCACAGCTTTTTGTACGCCCTCGTGTCGTTCATAGGTATCCTTGCGTTCCCCGTTGGTATTTTAGAGTTGAGAAAGAACGGCGAGTCCATTCTCGACATGGTAAAAGAAATCCTCAAAATGCACAGGGGTTGCTTCGCTTGCATGTTCAAGTGGCCAGCGCTCTTGGTGTATGGTGTTCTGATCTACACCCCGATCTTGTTCTTCCGTTACCTGCCGATGGACTTCAAAGCCCCGGTGCGATCAGCCCGTCGGTACGTCACGAAGGCTACGATAGGGGCGGAGCAAAAGATCGAAATGATGTTGACGGAGCGCATAAAGCACGCGAGTAACAGCGATGATACTGTTCTACCATGTCAAGGTAGCGGTGGTACTCAAAACGAGCTTTCACGATTTCTGGCTGTCTACGACATGTTGATCATGGTCGCCAAAGACCTGCACTACGCCGATATCGCCAGCCTATCATCCGTCTCAAAATCAGTCCGCGAATCAGTCCTACCTTCGAACGATGTCTCAAGCCGACTCGGTATCTTCAGGCGCTACACGTGCGACCCTGGCGAGAGGAACACCTGCTGGGGCTGCACGAATCAGATATGTGAAGGGTGTGAAGAGTTTTCTTATATGCCACATGCGCCTGCACTTCATCATCTCGAGGATTGCGTCCCATACTGCGCATCGTGCTACCATACACACATCGTTCGCAATTCTCGCAATCGTAGAAGTCGAGCGAAGGGAAACCCAGCCTGCGTCTGTGTAAAGCTCGGTTCTAATTGGCATCAAAGAGCGTTTTGGGGATTCTTCAACAGACACGCGTACTACACGGAGATGAGGCTATCTCAGACTACTAGGCGACTCTGTCGTATTTGCAGTCAGGTGGACAATGAAGAACTTGCCATGCGAAAGGCAGAAAGCGCGGTGAGGTTGCTGAAGAAGGGATTGAAAAGCGATGGAGGAAAGTGGAAGACGTGCGCAGTCTTGGAATGTGGTAAGAAGCTGGGGAGTGGTCCCAGATACTGGGTATGTACGGAGTACAATTGCCACAAAGAGTGCAAAAGTACTATTCACCCAGCATGGGGCAGCAAGACAGATGCCGGCGTTACTGGGGAGGCTATTGCCTAATGGGAATACCTACGGATATGCATCACAATACAATTCCGTCGATTGTCTGTCTAAGTTCTTTCTTGTACAACATGGCGCAATGCTCTCTAACCCCGTTCATAACAGGAACCATGTCACGATACTACGCATTCATTTGTGTTGGACATGTATTACATTATTGGTATAGTTCTATGACTGAGAGGATCAAATTGTACCACTATCTACAGCATCATCGCTGCAAAGATACCGGCCGCGAGAGCAGCAGCACCTCCACCAAGCTTGGT